TATATATATATATATATATATATATATATATATATATATTATATAATTTTTGGCTAAGCGAATGCAATTAGTTTTGGCCGATTGACCGCTTTTGTATTTTGCCCTTTTTCAAGAGACCTAGTCAACTGGAGAAATTAAGATGCCTATAAACTTTAGGAACTAGAGAAATTAAGAGCATATAAAACTGAAAAGATCTATGGACTAAAATTAACCCAAACAAGATTTCAATTTCAGCGCATATAAAACTGAAAAGATCTATGGACTAAAATTAACCCAAACAAGATTTCAATTTCAGCGCATATAAAACTGAAAGATCANGTATTTTGCCCTTTTTCAAGAGACCTAGTCAACTGGAGAAATTAAGATGCCTATAAACTTTAGGAACTAGAGAAATTAAGAGCATATAAAACTGAAAAGATCTATGGACTAAAATTAACCCAAACAAGATTTCAATTTCAGCGCATATAAAACTGAAAGATCAATGGACTAAAATTAACCCAAACAAGATTTCAATTTCAGCCTTTCTTTCTCCGAGTCTCATGTCTTAATTTTCTCTTCATTTCATTGGCTTTCATTTGTTATGGTTAACCTTTCTCTGCCTTATAAATAAAGAACAAATTTCAAAGAGATTAATCATTACAATTAAGGGAAGAAGAAGAGATAAATAAGAGTTAATCTCTAACCAAATTAAGAAGAAGAGAAGCAAAGATGGGGTTTGAAATTAGATCATGCTTCTTCTTGTTTCTCTTCTTCCTTGTTGTTGGCTTGGCTTCCTCTTCCCCAACCTACATCAAATGTAATTTTATTAGTTCCTCAACGCATTTTTTTATGTCTTTAATTCAATATGCTCTTGTTCTGGATATTAATTCAACTTGCAACACTAACAAATCAATTTTCCTATTTAAATAAATTCCCTTTTTCTTACATTCAAGATCTTATGGAAAAACTTCTTGGTTTTTTTTTTTTTTTTACTTTGTATTTTGTTTACCAGGAGCTTATCAAAAAAAACAAAAAGGACAGGTCAGTGCACTAAGCTCCCGCTATGTGCGGTAAACGGGGAAGGGGCGGACCACTAGAGTCTATTGTATGCAGTCTTCCCTGCATTTCTGCAAGAAGTTGTTTTCACGGCTTGAACCCGTAACCTCCTGGTCACATGGCAACAACTTTACTAGTTACGCCAAAACTCCTAGTCTTTACTAGGAGCTTATTATGAAAAGAAATCTAGTAGAGTTGTCTGTAACCCTATGTTTTTCCAGGATTTGTTTAGCTTTTTAAAGATTTATACGGTCACTAGAAAATACATTAAAAAATTCTAATACTCTCTATATTTATATAGAATCCTAAAGCAGACCCCAACTTATTTGAGTTTGAGGCTTAATTATTATTATTATTATTATTTAATTAAATTCTCTTTGTGTTTGAGCAGATAGCGTGCTTCGTCAGTCTCACGCGCCGGGGCGTGGCCTTCTTCAACAATATTTAGTGAAGAATGATTGTCCCATTAATTTTGAGAAGGAAGACTACACACCCCTTACTAGCCAATGCAAAGGGCCTCAATACAATCCAGCATTATGTTGCAATGGATTCAAGACAATTGCATGCAGATACACAAACGAAATAAATGATGAGAGCAATGGGTGTGCTACTGGTATGTTTATCTCCATTAATGAAAGTGGAAAATACCCTACTGGTCTTTTTGAGAATATTTGCAAGGAAGCAGAAGAAGGTTTAAAGTGTGACAATGTCAAGAGCCCTGTTGCTCCAAGACAAAATGTTCATAGTACACCAAGATCAAATCCCAGAGTTGGTAACAGACAAGCAATTGGTAAACATTAGGCAAGAAAAAGTTTTAAGCTTTAATAATTGCTTGTAATAGTATGGAATTCCAAGTCTTGTACGTACATTATTCTGTTGGTTTTGTTACCTCTCATTTATTTTGTGATTTAAATTTTGTACCCAGTATTTTGGGATGTTCGCGAGACTATAATGAATAAGATCATTCATTTTTGTTTTTCTTTCTCTTCCTCTTATTCTGGTATTTGGCCTAAATGGAGAATGTTAGAGGTTGGTACTATAATGGGCTTTGTACAAAGTTGGCCGCTCAGCCAAACACTATAGGGATTTTTACATACCTATACACTTGGAAACCTTATTACCAAAAATATTCATGTTTAGTTAATTATCGATCTAAACAAGTTTTGTTTATAGAATATATATATTCCACTTAAAAAGGCTCCCAATCCATTATCAGTGCTTTTAGTTACACCATTTTTTTTTTCTTTTCTCCTCTTTTCTTTCTTCTCTCCCGATTCTATTTGCTATACCCTTGATATCTAAGATCTTTTCTTCTCTTTAAATTTTCGATGTAAATTACTTCCTCAAAAATAATCTAAAGTAAGAACAAACAGACAAAATAAAATACAGAGAAGAGAGAAGATATATAGGCGATAGTATTAGGAACTCAATTCTTACCTTTCAATTGTAATTTATAATGGAAAGGCTTATCTTTACCAACTCTTCACTTCCCTCATCTAAACTCCACCACCTTAAGCCCTTTCCTCGTCTCTCCCAACTCGAATTCTCTGTTCCGAGATTTCAAACTCTGCCCTCCCTTAAACGTGTTGAGTGTCGCGGGCCCAATTCGCTTTCTTGTGATACAATTTGTATACAATATTTATACAATATGTCTTTTGTATATTTTGTATCTGATTTATACATATTAAAAATAAATTTCATACAACTAATTATATATTATACAACTTATCTACAACTATCATACATTATTTCTACCTAGTTATATACAACTACAATATCATACAACTTAAATACAATTTTTATATAATATTGTTAAACTTTCATACAATATTTAAATAAAAAAACATATATAAACAACAGAATACAATTTACCTACAATATTACTACAACTTTACTACAATTTCATAAGTATAATATATATTATGTCTTCTTCTTCTTCTTCTTCTTCTTCGTCGTCGTCGTCGTCGTCGTCGTCGTCGAGTTTCAATATGAAATTCGGTCAAAATCAAGTCTAATCTTTACCAAAACACCCTCAAAATTGAGATATAACCTCCAAATAATATTTTCAATTATTTGCCACAACACCCAATCCAAACAAAATAATGGTTTTTGAAAACCTAAATTTGAATTCAAAGCTTCAAAATTTTTAATGGTTGTCAATGGTGGAATTGCTACTCTCTTTCCTTTGCTCTACATTACTGGAATTAGGGATTGAAAGATAGAACGAGACGTAGAGAGAGAGAGAGACAGCATGAGAGAGAGAGAGAGAGAGAGAGAGAGCATAAGAGGGAGAGAGAATAAGGATGAGAAATAATTGATTCCTAATATAAAGGGATACTCATTTAATTCCTAAAATGTGTATAATTGGTAAATTTATATATATGATGTAATTAAATTAAAACTTGAGTAGGAAGGTAATGTATAAGTATGTAAAAATTCCAAAACAATAACAGCCACTAGCCCAATCTTTGGCAACCGCTTGACTTTCTTTTTCACTTACAATTAGTAGTCAAAGAAGTATTAACCCGCTATTCTCGACAATTCTAAGCCTTGCGAAATCTCACAAAAATCCTCCAAATCCTTGCTATTTTTGACAATTCGAAGCCTTAGCGAAATCTCACAAAAATCCTGCAAACCCAGTGAAATCCCTCGTCAAAAAACCAACCCTTTCACCCTCCAAAAATCGATCAAATCCAACTGTCTTATCTACAACTGCCAAACTCCTTCCTATTATACTACAGATTTTGATCCCTTTTTTATCTCTTACAAAAAACTGACATTTTCATATTGGCTCAGTTTAATGGGGGAAAAACATTGTATTGCTTAGCATAAATATCCATGATACAAGAAGAAGAAGAATGTGTTGTATACGTTGTACACGGAGGCGGACCTAGGATTTGAGTGTAATGGGGGCACCGTTATTGATATAGATATGTTGTAACGACCCGACCGGTCGTTTTGAGCTTTTATACTTCGCTCGCCAGTCCTCGGGCATGGCTAGCCCTGTGTGGTGTATATGACTTATGTAAATCATCGGTTTTGATTTTCAGGGTAATCGGAATGAATTTGGAAGAACAGTTCTCAATTTGAAGTTTAAAATTTGAAAGGTTTGACCAAGTTTTGAATTGTTAGTATATGATCTCAGATTGGAATTTTTATGATTTGGTTAGCTTCGTTAGGTGATTTGGGACTTAGAAGCGTGATCGGAATGTATTTTGGAAGTCCGTGGAAGGTTTAGACTTGAATTGGCGAAATTGGAATTTTGGCGTTTTTCAGTTGATAAGTGAGATTTTGATATAGGGGTCGGAATGGAATTTCGGAAGTTGGAGTAGGTTCGTTCTGTCATTTGTGACGTGTGTGCAAAATTTCAGGTCATTCGGACGGGGTTTGATAGACCTTTTGATTGAAAGCGGAATTTGGAAGTTTTTGGAATTCTTAGGCTTGAATCCGATGCAAATTTGGTGTTTTAATGTTTTTTTGAGCATTCCGAAGGTTGGAACAAGTTTGAATGATGTTATGGGATATGTTGGCATGTTTGTTTGAGGTCCCGAGGTCCTCGGGTGTGTTTCGGGTGGTTAACGGATCAATTTTTGGACTTTGGACTTGGTAGATTTTTTGATATTTTATTGCAGAGAAATCCTTCTTCGCGAACGCGAGAACCCGCGATAGGTTCTCGCGTTCGTGAAAGGTTAATGAGAGCGGCAGTCAAGTTGTTCTTGGCGTTCGTGATGTTGGTCCCGCGTTCGCGAAGGTATATGAGTTTAAGGCTACGCGTTCGCGATTGGTGTTCCGCGTTCGCGTAGGCTCGAGCCGTGTGGTCATCGCGTTCGCGTGTGGGACCTCGCGTTCGCGAAAGAGAGAATTTGGTCAGTGAAGCTTTGAGCTTTGCGAACGCGAGGGTGATGTCGCTTTCGCGATGAAGAATACCTGGGCAGTCAGTTTATATTTTTAAAATCGAGGGTTTGGTCCATAATTTCGAAATTTCATTAGTGAGCTCGGGAGAAGGTGAACTTTGAGGAAATTTTCAGTGGAGCTATTGGGGTAAGTATTATTCACTCATATTTGGTTTAATTCCATAATTTAGTCTTGAATTTCATCATTTAATTTGAGAAATTAGAGTGGAAATTAGGAAAAAATGGAAGAAAAGTTTGAGAATTCTTTTGGGAATTTGAATGGGCATTTGATGTTGGATTTTGATGTATTTGATATGTACGAACTCGTGAGAGTGTAAAGATTCTATTGATGTGATTTTTATCGGATTCTGAGACATGGGCTCGAGGGCTGGGTTTGGCCAATTTCAGGATTTTTGGGATAGATTGGATATTTTCGAATGGGCTTTGTTCCCTTAGCATATTTTGATGGTATGAATATGCTTTTGGCTAGATTTGGAGCATTCGGAGGCCGAGTCGAGAGGCAAAGGCATCGCGAGATAGAGTTTGGACCGGATTGAGGTAAGTAATAATTGTAAATATCTGTCCTGAGGATATGAAACCCCGGACTTAATATCGTTGTGCTACTTTGAGGTGACGCACATGTTAGATAACAAGCGTGGGGTCGTGCATCGTTGGGGATTGTGACTTAGTCCGTCCCGTATGACTATTAAACTGCGTATTTGACTGAAAACTGTTTGATATCATTGTATTTTGGAAACTATTACCATGTTTTGGGCTGAATGCCATATTTGGGCCTCGTTCCAACTGTTTTGGACCCTTAGGGGGATTTTTACTACTATTCCTCACTGTTTTGACTTCATATTTGTACTCAGTCATGCTGTATTCTACTATTTTCATAACTCAGCCATATTTACTCCGTTTTTGATATTCTAAATAATATTTTCGGTTGAGCATCATGTTTTACTGTTGCCCCGAGTGGCTTGAGAGATTTATGACAGAGTGAGCCCGAGGGCCTGTGTTGTGAGGATACTGTGGGATCGGGTTGCGCGCCCAGCAGTGTTGTACTGATTCATGAATACGAGGCCGAGGGCCTGATTTGTTACGCCACGAGTTGGCTTGATATTAGGTCGAGAGCCTGTTTGATTATGCCATGAGATGGCTTGATATTGCGCTTGGGTCGTAAGGGGTCTCCTCCAGAGTCTATACACCCCAGTGAGTGTGGGTACCTAGTGTGAGATGTGATATAGCCCGAGGAGCTGATGTTGTTCCATGTTATTGCCCAAGGGGCAGTTCTTGATTTATGTTATGCTCGAAGGGCTGATTGTGAGTGATTATGAGGTAACCCGAGAGGCTAGTTCTGTTGACATTATGCCCGGGGGCGGTTTATGGTACATGTTTTGCCCGAGGGGCTGTATACATTTCTATCATGTTTACTCATTGTTTTATCACTTGTTTGAAACTATTGAAAATTGTTTTAAAAGGTTTTACCAAAACTGAGCACGATTTACGAAGTAAATGATTTATGTATTGTGTTGGAAATATCCTGCATTTGTTGAAGCGTTTGACGTGGCTTACGTGTTTTCTTACTGCTCAGCTTTCATTTACTTTTATTACTTACTGAGTTGGAGTACTCACATTACTCCCTGCACCTTGTGTGCAGATTCAGGTATTTTTTAACCCGATAGCGGGTGTTGATTGCTCAGTGGAAGATTCATCGGAGTTAGCAAGGTAGCTGTCCGACATCCGCAGCACTGCTTTTCTCCCTCTTGTTTTTCTTACACTGTATTTAGTACATTTTAGAATCTCTGTTGTATTCATACCTTAGTATATGCTCGTGACTTGTGACACCCCGATGTCGGGCTTGTGTATTTATTCTGCACTGTTCATTTAGACTTATCTTATGCGATATTTGATTAATTAAAGGCTTAAAAATGACTGTTACTGATTAAATGGTTAAATTTTGGGAGTTGTGTCGGCTGGCCTAGTTTCACGATAGGTTCCATCACGACCGGGTCGGTTTTAGGGTCGTGACAAGTTGGTATTAGAGCCTAGGTTACATAGGTCTCACGAGTCATGAGCAGGTTTAGTAGAGTCTCGCGGATCGGTACGAAGACGTCTGTGCTTATCCTTGGGAGGCTAAAGAACCTTTAGGAAAACTTCACATTCTTGAACTCTTATCGTGCGTCCTTGATTCAGCTTGAAATGTAACTTTTTGAATTCATTCCATGCGTTCGTATGCACGCATGAGCGCTCAGTATCGGATATGCATCGATGGCTTGTAATTCCCTGATCGAGGGGAGAGATATGATCTCTGTGTGTTGATGTTGGGCCAGTCTGGAGTACCTGAGACCGGGTTTTGCCTATAGCTTGAGCACTGAGGCGTTGATTGTGTGAGCACGTACTTTTGGATTTGTATGTCCGATAGTGTTCCGATTAGTGGGAGTGATGACTGAATAGTTACGTGATGAGTGTGATGTGACTGCGAGATATGTTCATATGAATTGAATGAGACGAGAAGGGTCTGCTTTGGGGTAGCAAGAACTATTTGGTGCTTGATTTCCATCGTGAGTTGATGTATAGCCCCGAGTTGTAGGTGTGTTGAAGGATCTTTACATTTTGCCTAGTTGGGAAGTGAAGTAGATTTCACGTTGTGATATGAATTCAGACTTAGGAAGATTAAGTGACTACGTAATGTTTATGACAGTGGAAGGGTATAAAGAGATGTTAGTTTGAGGCGAAGCAGGTGGGTTATCTCCTGCGGAGTGTTCTGAAGTTTGTGTGATCCTTATGTTGTTTGTTGGAAGATCTCTTTTACTAGTGAAATATATGTGTTGCAATTCGAATTTGGGTCGCTTAAGAGAGTGGGCTTGACTGTTACAAGGGTGAATGCGAGATTTGTAGAAGATTTGAAGTACTAGATGGTCTATGTTGCACGAGCTTATGAAGGATTGAGTTTAATCTCACTATGGTATTATGGCAGTAATAGAGTATATGCATTATGTGTTATTATGTGTTTTGATCTATGACTTTGCGCCAAGTGGGGGAGTCTGCTATTGATTAGTTGATTGCACGGTTATGTGCTATGTTGGTTCAAGTTGGAGGCGTGCTGGTGAATCAATTATGGCTTACGGAGGTTGAGATCAAGGATGGCTCGAGTAAAGGAAATTTCAATAAAAGTTATGTTATGCTTTATGGGTATATAAGAAGCATAGAATGACTTGAGTTGTTATGAGTAAAGAGTGTGCAGTGCATAGAACAGAAAGTTGCTTGGTTGCATTAATTAAGGTTACGTTCTGCGGTGTTGGAGTGCTATTGGAGCACATGTTGCCCTGTCCGTTTGATCGGTCTAATTGTGGTTGGTACTAAAATGAGCTTTGTACAAAGTTAACCGCAAAGCCAAAAACTATAATAGCCACTAGCCTAATCATTGGCAGCCGTCTGACTTTCCTTTTCACTTACAATTTGTAGTCAAAGAAGTATTAACCTGCTAGTCCCGAAAATTCTAAACATTGTGCTCACAAAAATACTTCAAATCTAGTAAAATCCCATATCGAAACCAACCCTTTTACCCTCCAAAAATCTATCAAATCCAACCGTCTTATCTACAACTTCCAAACTCCTTCCTTTTATACTACAGATTTTGATCTCTTACAAAAAACTGACATTTTCATATTGGTGTATTGGTGGTAAAATGATGCTACATGCGGAATGTTGGAATGCTAACATAGGATGATACATGGAATAGTGATATAGCGACAAATGACATTCTTAATTGAAAGAATTAATTGGGAGAGGAAGGCACGGGGAGAAACACCCATGAGAAGGTATAGAGAAGAGAACCGAGCCTAACAGTTGACAAAGAAGAGACGATGATAGAATGAAGAAAGAACAAAAAGAAGGAAAGATACATGAACCGAAAGAAAATAAGGGATGAGAATAGGAATAGTTATAGGATATTTATAGCAATAAATACACCAGTTATAGATATCTGAGATAATGGGCAATCAATACCATTAATGCCCATAATAAACCCAAACTATGTGGGAAAACTATTACAATTGTACACTCCTATATAAGGATACAAAATTTTATTTTATAAGGATAGATCTCAAGTACTATTAACTCTTTACTTTTCTGCTTTCTCGAAATTCTCTGTCTTGATTTTACAATTTGACCATCAATTAGTTCCTTTTCCATTCTTTTTATTTTCTTTAAATATCATTGTGAAAGTGAAGTAAAACTTGGTTATTAGTAACCCATTTTCTTCTAAATTTAGACTTTGACCAAGAAACCTATTTTTTAGTTAAACAAATTGGTTCTGTTGCCGGGAATGTGATTATCTTTTTACTTTCCAAATTCCCTTTCTGACAACCAATCATGTCAACTGTCAACGTAAATAACTAGCTAAATCCACCGGAGGGAGGCACTCCACCAATCCCTTCACCACAAGAATCTCCTCGACAGTCCCGAGAGGGGACACCTGAATGATCAACATCACACACGAATGAACATCAAGGGAACGAGCAGACTGTCGAATAAGACGCTTTAAAATAATTGACTGTAGAGCACGTGAATAGCGCTCTCCAAGCCTTTGTTAGGGGATTGCGAACTGCGCCGCCAACTCCTCTTCCAAATAATACAGCAACCATAGAAAACCCACGCTCGGGGCTTGACAATTCAGGAAGCGGAGGAATTCCCAGTGAATCTCGTGATGGAAGGTCAGGTACACCAAATAATTCTAATTTACAAAGTTTGGTACTAAATTTGCAGAAACAGCTGAAAGAGAAAAATGATCACATAGAACAAATACTTAGCGTACCACCCGTGATTAAAATGAGTAGATATTGATAAATATTCACAATGGCCCTGGAAGCCAAGTGCAACACCTTTGCCGATTCCTAAGAAGTTTAAAATTCCTGATATTCCAAAACATGATGGAACAACTGACCCGTAGACCATGTAACCGCATTTACAACTGGCGTAAAAGGCAATGATTTGATCAAACAAGAAATCGAATCAGTTTTGGTCAAAACATTTGGTGAAACACTCACGAAAGGAGCATTAACGTGGTATTCTCTCTTACCTAAAAACTCTATTGATTCTTTTGCTGAGCTTGCAGATGCATTTATAAAAGTACATTCGGGAGCTCAAAAAGTTGAAAAAATAATGGAAGACATCTTTAAGGCAAAACAAGGAAACACAGAACTGCTCAGAGAGTTTGTGGATAGATTCTAGCGAGAGAGGATGATGTTACCACGAGTACCTGACAATTAGGCAGCTATGGCGTTTGCAAGCAATCTAAACAATAAAAATTCAGAAGCCACGAGGGGACTAAAGGAAAGTTTGCGAGAATTTCCAGCAACAACTTGGAATGACGTGTATAACAGATACAACACAAAGCTGCAGATAGAGGAAGACACGGTTGCACAACCAACGGTTGATGAAAGAGCAGCGTCAAGATGTTCAGAATCAGAAAAAAGAACTGGGAAAAATAGGTATGAGCCTTATATGGGTCCTGTAGGTCAAGATTCTCGGTCCAAACAAGAAAACTTACAATCTGAATCGAGGCCAAAGCAAAAAGAAACGGGTTCCTCATCTGGATTCAGAAAGGAACGGGATGTGCAAGGAGACAATTCCAACACACATGCGAGAATCAGAGATTATAGGTTTAATGTCAGTACCTCTGAGTTGGTGGTTGTTTTAAGAGGCATGGGAGATAAGGTACGGTGACGTAAAGAAATGAGGTCAGACCTGAGCAAAAGAAATCCAGATTATTGGTGTGAATTTCATAACGATCACGGCCATAGAATAGCAGATTGTAGGTTACTACAAGGAGAGCTTGAGCATTTGTTGAAGCAAGGTTATCTAACTGAGTTGTTCAGCGAGAAAGGTAGGCAATCATATATGAAGAATAGACAAGAACCCCCAAAACCACTATCTCCAAAAAGAACAGTTAACGTAATAACCGGGAGAGACGAGGGCAATGGTGTGACTTATACAATAGCAAAGAAGGCGTCAAAAGTCACAGTCACTCATAGGAAGCGAATATGTCACACCTTGGAAGGAGACAGTATAAAATTCGATGATGAAGATGCGGATGGCTTGATGATTCCTCACAATGACGCATTGGTAATATCCTTACTTATACCCGATATTAACATAAAATGAGTTTTGATTGACCTAGGTAGCTCCGTGAATATCATTTTACTAAGAGTGGTGGATGAGACTCAAGCTAAAGACAAGGTGATACCAAAGGAACGGACTCTGTCTGGGTTTGATAATTCAAGTGTTATCACGAAAGAAGAAGTAGTGCTAGCTATGTTTACAGAAGTCGTTATCAAAGATACAAAGTTTCAAGTGATAGATGTAGACATGGCTTATAATATAATCCTGGGAAGACCATGGATTCATGATATGGATGTTGTACCATCCACATTGCATTAAGTTATCAAATTTCCTTCACAGTGAGGGATTCGTAAAATTCGTGGAGATCAACAAGCTTCGAGGAGTATCAATTCAGTAGTTGCTACCAGCACGGTAAATGAGGTAGAAGGCAAGAAATAGCAGTTACAGAGTTCAGTTGAGGATGTTGAAATACAATCCTCAAGCATTCCAGCACAAACTGACATTGATTTGAGACCCGATGTTATTCAAGAACCAGCAAAAAAATGAAAATATTAAGACAACTACCGAAGAACTCGAAGCGGTGTGCTATTTAAACACTGGCCGGATAGAAAAGTTTACATCGAAGTAAAGCTGAGCACATAAATGAAAGGTAAGTTAATTGAATTTTTAAAATCTAAATCAGATTGCTTTACTTGTTCGCATTCAGATATGACAGGTATACCACCAGAGGTGATGACTCACAAACTGAACGAGGACCCATCATATCCACCTATCAAGCAGAAGAAAAGGAGGAAGTGATCCTTCAAAAATCAGGTGATCCAAGATTAGGTACAAAAACTTTAAAAATTGGGGCAATACGAGAGGTAAAATATCCTAACTGGCTAGCTAATACTGTAGTAGTACCAAAAAAGAATAGGAATATGGCGAGTTTGTGTAGATTATACTGATTTAAATAAAGTTTGTCCAAAATATTCATTCTCTTTGCCACACATAGATCAACTAATTGATTCTACCACATGACACGAGTTGTTAAGTTTTTTAGATGCATATTCAGGATATAACAAGATAAAGATGTACCCTACAGATGAAGAAAAAACTTCCTTAATCACAATTTGGTATGTGGCTCCAGCATTTTTCATACCCAAAGGCATTATTTTGTAATAGTAAGTCACCCTACCTTATTACGCAAAGCTATCGAGGAAATACCCGATGTACTCACAAGCAAAAAGAAAGTGCAGAGATTAACAGGAAGAATAGTAGAACTGGGGAGATTTATTTCAAAATCATAAGAAAAAGAGTTTTAAATTCGTTTCAGTATTGAAAAAGCAAAATCAATTTAAATGGACTGATGAATGCCAACAAGCCCTCAAGGACTTAAAATCGTATCTGTCAAATCCGCAATTGCTAGCCAAACCGAATGACGGGGAAAGGCTGCTTATCTACCTTGTTGTGTCAGAAGTGGTGGTAAGTGTGGTACTTGTACGAGAGGATAAAGGTAAACAATCTCCAATATATTATGTTAGTAAATCTTTGTTAGATGCTGAGACACGATACCCACATATAGAAAAACTTGCTTTAGCACTAATTATGGCATCTAGAAAATTGAGACCTTATTTTTAATATCATCCTATGTCTGTAATAACTGCTTTCCCCTAAGGAATATATTGCATAAGCAAGAACTATCTGGTAGGTTAGCTAAGTGGGCAATAGAACTTAGTGAGTATGATATCATATACCCGCCCAGAACTGCAATAAAATCATAGGCTTTAGTAGATTTCGTAACAGATTTTAGCACGAATTTAGTTACTGAAGAAAAAAAGGAATTACAAGTATTTACCGAATCTAATCCAGGAACTTGGACTTTATTTACTGATGGTTCCTCGAATGTTAAAGGAGCGGTTTAGGTATTGTCCTAATTCCACCATCAAGAGAAGTCATAAGACAAGCAATAAAATGTTATCCTATCACTAATAATGAAGTAAAGTACGAAGTTGTGATTGCAGGTCTGGAATTAGCACGAGAACTTGGCATAGAACAGATTGTAATCAAAAGTGTTCGCAGCTAGTAATTAACCAAATTCAAAGGACTTACATAGCAAGAGAGGCACGAATGCAACATACTTGGAAAAGGTACGAGAATTAGTCATACAATTTCAATCGTGGAAGGCTATTCGAATACCCAGTGAATAGAACGTAGAGGAAGATGCATTGGCCAATCTCGTGTCTGTTACGGAAGTAACAAATGCAGAAAATGCTATTATAATACATTTGTTTCATTTGGCACTCGATCAAGACAAGAACGAGGTAAATTTTAATAATTTAACTTGGGATTGGAGGAACGAGTATATCAATTTTTGCAGTATGGAATCTTGCCCGAAGACAAGAAGAAGTCATAGGTACTTCGCCAAAAAGCTGCCCGGTATTGCTTAATTCATGGAAACTTATACCGAAAGGTGTTCGGCGGACCTTTAGCACTGTGCCTTGGTCCTTCACAAATAGAATATGTAATCAGGGAAGTACGCGAAGGGCACTATGGCGAAACATTATCTTTCCTTTTGGATTTCCAAAGGAAATCGTGTGTGACAACGGACCACAATTCATTGGCACGAAAATCACAGTGTTCTTTTAGACTTGGCAGATTAAACGGATTACATCCGCGCCTTACCATCCCGTAGCTAAAGGGCAAGCTGAGTCAAAAAATAAAGTTATTATTAATAGATTAAATAAAAGATTAGAGAAGCCAAAAAGCAATTGGCCAAAAGTGTTACCAGGAGTATTATGGGCTTATCGAACAACATCAAAAACCAGTATGGGCGAGACTGCATTTTCACTCGTCTATGGCACTGAAACCCTAATTCCAGTTGAAATAGGTAGACCAAGTATGAGATACACACATGCTACTGAGGAAGAAAATGAAGAAGGAATGCATGCGAGTCTTGATTTATTAGAGGAAAGGAGGAAAGCTGCGCTAATAAGAATGACGGCTCAAAAGCAAATAATTGAATGATATTACAATAGGAAAGCAAATCTGAGGTACTTCAAAATTTGGGACTTCATCCTCAAAAAGGTATTTCGGTCAATGAAAACGGCTAATGCAGGTAAGTTAGGTCCAAATTGGGAAAGTCCTTATAGGGTTCGAGGCATCACTAAAAAAAGGGCATATAAGTTGGAGACCATGGATGGCAGCATACTACCATCACATTGGAACGTTGTTCATTTGGATAAGTATTACTTATAGGCAAAGGAAGTACCCATGGTCAGGTATTACTTAGATATAATTTTATTTCGTTCTTTTGAATTTTACTAACAGTTTTAGATGATAGGCAAAAAGCTAGCCCGTACCAAATGATGATATTAGACCCGAAAGGCACGCGGAATACTGAATTATTCTCGGTCTAGGTTATAACCTTTCTAATGGAAAAAAAGGATTAAGCAGTCATCGTCTAAACATATACCTTCGAGTTCCGTGTGTATTTTCCTTTTCAGGGAATGGACCAAAAGGAAAGAACAATCCAGTATTCGAGATTTTATAATTCAAAGCTCTAACACTAGGGGGGACTATACATATAGACAAAGAAGCTAAAAGTAAAAACTCAAGCCTAATAGACAAAAATCAAGCCTTAATCGAAAACCTTAAAACAACCTTGAGAAGGTGTGAAATCGCAAGGACACAAGACACACTCCAAGTTCCAACGAGTTTTTAGGTTAAGGCCAAAAATTAGTAATGGGATAACAAACCCGATATTGGTCACGGGATAACAAACCCGATTTTGTATCTGAAAATCTGATACAAAGAAAGCAGTTGTGAAAGTAATGTACGAATAATAGGGAAAATCATATACGAAATTTATTTGAAAGTTCAAAGCATCAAAGTTGTATCCTTTTTGTCTATTTCATCTTTCATATATTTACACCAAAATGAAGATGAGATATCATATTCATCAGTGTCGCTTATATAGAAGGGCCCTCTTTTATAAAAAATTGTGTTTATCAAAATCGTAGATTATTGAAGCATTTTAATATGCAAGTCCAAATATCAAAGAGCAAAACAAAAGCTCAGATATCAAAATAAACGGTAAAAGTAACCAAAACACATATATTAAACTTTGGGGAAATATAGAGGTATTTGTTTGTCATTAAACCCTAAAACAAGATAGGGGTAACCAAAAACAACCTTCCAAAAAACAAAATAAACTTCCCAAAAGTTGAACAAATGAGAAAGCAAGAAAAAATTAAGGGGCATCATCTGCGGGAGCATCATTAATGGGAGTAGAAGGGTCATCTTGTGAAGAAGAGGCTTGGACATTAGCTTCGCCAGGAACAAGTCCATTTCCATCACCTTTGGGACCTTCGTCTTCAAGTGAAGAAAAGCTTTGACGTTGCTGAGTTTTATCAATTGCTTCTTTAGCTTTAACAATCTTAGCATTAAGGTTAAAACCCTCATGGTTGGTTTTCATTAGAGTCTCGAGGTGAGTATTTAAAAAGGCCCAACTCACATCTAATGACAATTTGTCCTCGAGGATCTCATAGTCTTTCTCCCATTGATCTTTAGCTCTCAGCTCTTCTTTTTATGCTTCAAAGGCATCATAAGCTATCTTCAAAGGAGTAAGAGAACTTTCAAGAACTGAATCTTATCATTAGAGGCACAAAGATCTTCTTGAGCTTGAGTAAGTGTTTGAACTAATTCTCCCGCATACACCTCTTTTTTATTAAGGAGTTCCCTTAAACTCCTTATCTCTTTAGTCGCCTTGGAAAGTTGTTCGGCAAAAGAGGACTCAAGTATATCCTTGTCTTTTCCAACTTGGCTAGAATAAGCCTTTTCAACTACTAATTTAGCAATAACCATCTTCATTTGTTGCTCTAAGGCGTTCTTTTCTTCCGCCAGAACCTCTTTCTCCAATTGAATACCTTCAAATTGACCTTTCCAATTATCAGCCTCGGTGCAAAAATCTACTGCTTGCTGCTCCGCTTGACAAATCCTTTTCATAAGTTCAATGCTAATCAAGTTGATCTGCGAAAAAACAGAAAGGTTCATGAATAAGAAAGAGAAAGGAAATGAAGTATAATTAAGATTGTACCTTCAAAGAAGAATGAATGATATCATTCATCCAAGCAAGGGAGCTATATCTTTCTAACTTCTTCTTCTCTACGGGTCCAGTCAAGGGCTTTAACCACACATCAGATTGACCCAATTTCTTTAGTAAACTCCCACATTCAGGGACTTCCACAACAACTCTTTTCATTGTCAACCCGCTGTTGGAGGGTCCAGTCTCTACATGAGAAGCAACCACGGGAATAGCAGATGAGGTGGACGTAGCT